CCTGTGTCCCCTGCATCGGCAGGCGGACTCTCAACCACTGCGCCACCAGGGAAGCCTAAGACTTCGACTTTTCTTTACTACTTTTCTAGTAATGGGTATGTTTTCTAGAAGGAAACTTTTTGGTGTGGTGATCATTTGAGCCTGTGGACTTCAGCGGCCTCTTTGTGCTAAATGGTGGACACGCCTCATCCCTACCCCAACTTGACACACACAAAAGATTGCCCAATTTCTGAAACTGGTCAGCATCAAGGATTTTATCTTATCATGTAATATCCCCTTTCCTTGCATTGTTTCACTGTCTTCCCTTCCCATGACAAAAATTTAAACTTCTGGCTATTTCAGATTCCCAACTTTAAATATAATTTCTTTTTGTTGTTATTTTCAGCTTTAATATTTTGATACTTAAAAAAGTTAAAGCAGAAGTTTATTGAGTGAAGTATTAAATAAAATTATTTTAATTTTTCTTGCTTTCATATATCTCTCTCACTTTCCAGTTGATGGTCCTTATGTTGGATGAATATTTCATTTTGGCTGTTAAATGTCTTATTTTCTGATCATATTGATTGAGCTTTATTGCTTGAACTTCTAACTTATCTTCTCTGCAAGGAGATACAGTGGCTTTTAAAAGCCATATTATAGTTTCCCTGGTGGCCTTGGCAAGTTAGCAGATGTCCTTGGCCACATGTCCTTGGTGGCCATGGAAGTTGGCAAACGTTTGTGGAGGGAATCTGAATGAAATCTAGTGTGGCTACAGTAATTTGAATATACCCCGGGCCTCCCATTCCTCAATTTCTGCTTTACTTCTTTTGTATCTCTTGAGTCACCGCATTTCTATTACCAGTAATCTCCCTTTCTGCTCTGTCTTCCTTTTGCATTTAGTTCTCCTGTTCACCTCTTTGCGTCCCTCTCCTGTTGGTCTTTGGCAGAATTTGTATTTGCGGCTGTGCAGAGAGATGCTTGTTTAGAGAACCTCCTCTGGGCACTGGTGTTGCCATTGCACTTTGGTTATTTTGTAGATTAGAAAGGAAGGAGACGAGTGCAGGCGAATATGCCTGCCCGTAGCCACAGAATTCGCTTGACGTGCGAATAGATTCATAGTCTGTTAGAACTAAGAACTGGAAGAGGAACCATGTAGATCACTTAGGTCTTGTCTAGTCTTCTTGTTTTGAAGATGAGAAAACCGAGGCCAAGATTAGGGAAGTGGCTTCCCCAAAGACATGTTTCTGATAATGATACTGTGAAAATGATTCACTTAAATGCTTGTTTTATAGGATCAGAATTTCTCTCCTATTTGATAAAGCTAGGAAGGAGGCCAAAAATAACATTAAACTATTGAAAAAAGACCTTAACACATTTAGTCACTTTTTATTTTAAGCATTTGATGTATAGTCCCTGCGAGTCTGGTTTCTGTTTGCTTTTAACCCTGGCACGGGCTCCATGGGTGACATCACACCTGTTACTTAAAATCTCACTGGGGTTAGAGCACATGGAAAGTACCTTTTCCCTAGTATGTCCCCTCAACCTCACAACGTTAAAAAAGACAGGCACACACGCCCCATCACCTTTACGTGGAGAGAAGAAAAGGAAGAAAGGAATAAGAAATGATCTTACCACTACTCTACAAGAATGGATGTAGCATGAAAATTAATAAGGCTAGCTAACGTTTTTGAGTGCTGAGTATTTATGCGTCTGTTTTCACAGCAGTCTCTTGAGGTGAGCGCTCTTACTGTCCTTTTTACAGGTGGATACATTTAGGTGGTGAGAAGTGTGGTCACTTGAGTTGCACGGTTACACGTATGGCTAGTGAGGAGTGGTTGAACCCTGGGTGACTCCAGCCATGGCACCCCCAGCGACGCCACCCACATGGCATGTGCCCTGAGGTGGTAGGTGGTAAGCCATTCGTGCCGGGGCATGGATGGAGCCGATCACAGGTATGAAAGCACAGGCTGGGGTCGGTCAGGTGTTCGGACAGAAGTGTGGGTGTGTGTAGGGCAATCACAGAATACAAGCTAGAGTGGTGGGACGGGTCCAGATTTAGACTTCCTTGCTTATATGGGAGCCATTGAAGGGTTTCAGAGGGGTGAGGGTATGTTAGTGCCTAGCTCAGTCTGTCTGTTTCAGCGGCCCTTCTTCTGTCTCTTGTTCCCTCTCACTTGGTCCCCTTTCCTCCAGCTGGTCTGATGCACGCGGAGCTGGGGGGCTGAGGGAATCCAGGGTGTGAGTACGTCTCTTGAGTTGCTCACCTGGTTCCTTAGTAACTCCTCCTTCCTGTGTCCAATGTCCAGGGTGCCTGGAGCCTCCTGTCTTGTGTGAGGAGTGGGGGTGTGCTGTCATGGGGAGGGAGTACTGGGAATTGGGGGTCTGATCTCTCCTGATGTGTGCACCAGCCAGTTTCCTTGTGCTCAGCCCTGGGTGTCTCCTATACCCTCTGAAGCATTTGGCACCTCCAGTTCCTGAGCCTTACTGGGGCCCTGCAGGGTGTACTGGTCTTCCCTTCCAGCAGATGCCCCTCCACTGGCCTCGAGGCTTCCCCTGTCCTCCATCCCTTCCTACCCCTTCTTCCACTTTTGGACAGTTTGGGCTTTCACATGTCTTGTGGTTTCAGCAAAGATAGAGTTGGCACTTCTCTTTCCCATCATTGTCACGTTGTAGTGTATCTTGAGGGGAAAAGGAGGCATCTTAAAACTCAGAAGTCCCGTTTTTCATCCTTGTCTGGCACCCAGTGGGGTCTTCTCTCTTTCCAGGACTTAGTAGGTTCTTGTTAGCTCACTGAAGGAGCCTAGAGACTCTTTTGGGAGCTGTTGTGCTAAGTCCCAGTGAAAGTATGCGGGGTGCCAGGGATGTGCTCGGCAGAAGGCGGGTGGCTGCTTGCGTGTGGACCTCAGGGACCAGGAGGGGCCTGAGGGAGGTTTTGTAGCTCTGGGGATCTGTAAATCTCCTATCCTTGTTTTTAGAGTAGCTCTTGTAAAATTTGCTTGTGACATACTAAAGTTGGCACTTGGCCTGCACTCCTGTATACTTTTATTAGCACCATCTCCAGCATGGCATGGCTTCACTGATAAGATGCACGCTAAGATGCTTACATACGTGAGGCATTAAAGACGTTACATTTAAAATGGCCTCAGAGCCATGCAGCCAGTGGAGTGGTGTAGAATGTCTCATTTAAAGTAAAAAACTGAATCGGAATGCTAGAAACATGAGTGTAAGATAAAAGACCCATATTTTATCAGACTGTCATCATGTAATGTGAAAAAGTTAAACTTTGCGTGTCTTATAAATTTTTTCAGCAGTTGCATGTTGTGATAAGAGGGAACATGTCAGTGCAACAAATTTTTGAAATGTCTAACTTGGTATGATTTCAGCGAGGAGGACATGTATCGTGCGGCGGATGAAATAGAAAAGGAGAAAGAATTACTTACACATGAAAGAGGGTCATCAGGTATGTTTGGAATTGTTTTCTTTATAGAGTTCCTACTGTTTATGGTAGAAAATACAGTTACATTGGTATATCCATTTCCATGAAATGCTGAGATGTACTGCCTAGGAAGCAGGCGTGTGCGTGTGGGCTTATTTGTATTGCATACTTCCCCTGCTTTCTTTACAGTCATATGGTTTTCCCACCCGTGAGGCTTTTTTAATCTCCTGACACCACTCTCTCTCAGTTCTTGACTTGCTGATATTCTTAGAGGGAGAGTTTGGGTTTAAAGGGCATTTTTCATTTCAAGTGGAAGGACTTACTGAGAAGCCGGCTCTCCGGGTCTTTGTGTGCAGAAGGCCATGTGAATTTGATTAACTGATAAGGAAGAACGGTCATGGGACTGAAAGCACTAATTCTCCTGTCATTTCATGATCTTGTGTCCGTGCTTCTGCTCAGTCATGCCTGCTCTGCTCGCCCCACCAGGACCCGTGGCCCCACGGCTGCTAGGGTGAGCCTCTGCTGGGGGCACGGCCGGCGGGGCGCTGTGTGGAGAAGTGCCTCCTTCCTTCCCTGCTGGCCTCGTGCGGGAGCCCAGTGGAGATGCTCCGAGTTGGGGCTGTGCCCCAGATGATTCACAGGTGGCATTTTCTCGTGCACCACTTGTGTGATGTGTGTGTTCTGGTTTAAGAACTAGCTCCTGTTTGTCGTATGGTTAGCAAAGCATTATACGTGTAATTAGGAACAAAAGATACAAGGTGGGGTCTTTGATGATAATTTTTGAGTCTTCCTCACAAGGAGTTGGTGGAGCTCTTCACTGTGGTAGCCAAGGGAGATGTTATGGTCCCCCATAACCTTCAGAGGATGCTCGAATTTTCTGCTGCAGTTGCACGCAGTTCACCTCAGATTCAGTCCTTAGCAGTCACATTCCTGAGGAGAAAGTGCTTCTTCA